CTTTAAGGACTTATCTCAAAAGCAACTATTTCATCTTGAAAGATAAGTTAAAAAATCATAATGCGTATCAGTATTTAGTAGCAGTAGGCCTCCTTGTGTAAGAGTTCGTCCAGGCAAACGCTGAGACCTTACCTATTTCTGCCGCCAAGCGGTAATGTGAGCATTACGGCGTCCCGGTTTTGAAGGGTAAAGGTTCTGGTGAAATTACAGGCACATGGGACTTGTCGACTTATGTCTCAGGGTGACGGGCACAGTTAATTACCCCTCAGATCTCTGCGATTTAAAGCCCTGAGCGGTACTGCAACTGTTATGGACATCGTATCGCTTGCTATGATGAAAAAAATCTGCAAAGCGAATTGTATTTCGTCTCAATCTTGACACGTGATTATTTAAACAAATTAAAAGAGCAGTCTTATTCGCAGTCAAATTTAACACATTCTGATTACAACTGTGTGTTTGATAAGCAGCGAAGTTGTCTACAGAAATGAGAAGACAAAAACAAAAATGAAACGTAATTACTTTTTAAACAGCTTTTGTGAATATTTCAAAGGATTACAATCTAAAAGCATTAAAATCTAGTGACTAGTATAAGGTAAAAATTTTAAAGATTTTTAACTCTCGTAGGTACAGAATAATTGTATTTGGGTGATTTGTAGGTTACTTTTCACTACCTAATTTCGGTGGCAATTTTTACTACTGACAATTTTTAATTCGAGTATATTATCATGAAATATTAAATAATATATATGATAATATTCTAGCACATTCAAAACATAAAAATTGCCACTGATTTCGGTGGAGAAATATATATAATCTAGGAGAAATATATATATATAACCTGAACATTACACTTATTTATCAGTAATTGTATGAATAGTGTAGAATTAAACAATGGGATGTTATACATTACTATATTCCGACGTAAATACTAAAAAATTCGTAATTTTTTTAACTACCTATATTTTAAAGTTCCGTAATAAATAATGAAGTTATAAATTCCTTAAAGGATAACAGCTATCGTACCTACGAGTTGTATAGTAAAAAAGTATAGAAGGAGAATTATATTTAATACCAAAAAGGTTATGTTAGGTTCGGTTATTTATTACATGACCTCTAATACAATATTTTAATTATTATTTTTTTATTTAGACAGTCCCGGTGGTGTACCAGGTTTCAGTATGATGGTATTCCATAAATTTGAAATCAGAGCTATTTCCCGTTCCATTAAAAATAAACGAAATTCTAATCATTGTTGAATGCCAGGGCATACTGATATTTTATATTTCGATACCGGAAATCCGGTACCACTGGAAAGCCGAAGTACCGATACTCCACAACGCTTCCCGCGACATTTCCAGTTTCTTATATTTGGCAGCGCTTACATGATAACATGGAATAATATATCGGTATACAGTTGTTACAAAAACCTATGTAATACCGAATAATTAATATCCATACTATAAGGTCAGTGAAACCATTTCTTGAAAATACAGACATAATTTATACCGATAGTATCTCAAGTACCGGTACCGAAGGAAGGTTATGATACCGGTTCCCAGAAATACAGGTATAGTTTTATTTGTAGCAGTAGCATCTAAGTAGGTATCGGTACTGTAGCTAGTTTAATGGTACCAGTTCTTGAAAATACCAATATTCCAAGCTCTGGTTGAAACATAGTTCTATGTCAGACCATGAGACCTATAAAAGGCCCGAAACGTTGATTTATTTGAAAAAAAAAACAAATATACGCGATTTAGATCCCAAAAAACGGTTTTATCTCCAATATTTGTAGCAATCACGAAAACCTAGGAACTCGATAGATACTTCTACGCTTTAGTAGATAGTGAGACTAAAGATTTAAAGTTCGTCAATAGACATCATTATTACTGTATATTTCTAGCACAGTAAAAAGAGAAGCAGAGAATATCTGTGTTCCAGCAGACAACTTGGTGTCGTTCGTTGCTTTTTCATATTATATTTTTATTCTTTTGCTATGTCTTTGTTTTTCATTATTGTTTATTTAATTGTCAGTTGGTGTCGTGCGGTGTATTGTATTTATTATTGCGTTTCATTGTGCTCTTTTCCGTTCTTTTCCTCAATCCTTTTCTATCTTTTCCCATACAGTCTACATCACCCGCTTCACTTGGTTACATTAACATATTCACGTCGCAGTGGGAATTGTATTGACTGTTGGAACACCGATTTTCTCCGCTCTGCTTAGGTTGATAATGAGTCAAATCCTTTAAAATCCACTGATAGACGTCTTTATTGACTTAGTGGATAATGAAATGTCGCAATATCAATCAACTCCAAAAAAATGGAGGCGTCCGTTTTTCAGAACGTAATTAGAAGAAGGTTTGTTTTATCTGATACGCGCGGCGGACAACAAAACAAAAAAGCTACTAACTTTAATATTTTGAAAATAATAAACGCAAGGAGAATATACTTTGTTCATGCCAATGACATCAACCCCAAGAGTTTCTTGCTTATTCTTTTCAGGGGACTCTGCCTTACGAATGAGCAGTAGAGTTTCATTAATATGACGATTTCAAGTGTAATTTGCTTATCTATGAAAATAATGTGATTTGAATTTTGAATTTGGGCTTAAGCCTCACATATGTTGCTCATGTCTTCATAGTTCTATGGTGAATGTATTTTTCTTAACACAATTTTGTAGAGGCACATGTTAAACCAAATAAAAAAAAGTGATTACTAGATCAACATTTTTTACTTTGAGCTAGTGAGTGTGTATTTCATGCTGTTTTTTAAAGTGTTAAAAGACGTATTTATGTTTAATTGATATTTATATATTTTTTTATATGTAAAATTAGAGCCGTGATTTATTTTATCATATAATTACTATATAACAATATTTCATTAACGATCTGGGTAAATATTAATATTTAGGAGTGTGCAATAAATTATTCTAAAATGTAATATTAGTAAACCTTTACAACTAATTTACACTAATTGGTGTTTTGCATACGAACAATTAATAGGATAACTTTTTCTAAATAATCTATATTAAGTACATTTAAATTATAAGGACATATTAATCAGTTGGCTATTGAGATTTCTATCCAATATAATAAAAATTACAAAACTCGAAGAAATGTAGGTATTTCGTATTTGTTTTAAGAGAACGTAACATCATAATAAGCTCTTGATTTATATTAAAAAAAAACTAATAATAACAATTTAAAAAAAATTGATTTCGCTGACCGTAATTTATTCTATTGTTTATAATTAAAATTTCGTCATATACAGAATGATTTATACACGGTTTGCCATTTAATGTTGATGCGTAACTTATGACCACATTTTCTGTTTTTTTTTAAAGAGGCCATTGGAACCTGTGAAGCAAGTTTCAAACACCTTCACAGTCCATTCTGTACAAAAACGTAAATTACTAAAATTAAAAATATAAATAGAAATTGATCCCATCTCACGTTCTCGTACAGCTACAAAATTCAGATATTTATTAAATATTACGCTCTCAAATTTAATTTCACCTATTTACATTCATAAAGACAATAAAACTGAACTATCGAATCTTTTTTCGTAGTGTTTTAGGCACTATTTAGACAGCCATCAATCTTATATCTTATACAAAGCTTTAATTTTTATAAAATTGTTTACAGTCTACATGTCAATAGGCAGGTAGTAACAATTTTATATATCTAAATTCTAAATTAATTACAAATATGTGTGTATTGTATAATATAGCTCTATAGAAATCTTTAAAACAATTAAACAGTAACTATTGAACAATTTGGAATACCTTATACTATTTACTGAATAGTTTCTGTAATCTTCGATTTCTATACAGTGATTATACCATGAAATTACAGTGGCAGTTGTCGTAAGCGACCGCGTATGTGATTTTGTATATAAAACGTTAATTCTTTTTGTCACCGGTAGGGGCGCTGTACATACAAAATTATTAAATATTTTACGCTCTCTGTAAACTCATGGTAGAGGTACAGAAAAAAATATTGACTTCAACGGATCTATTTGGAAATAAGCGCTAGTTTTCATCGACGTCGAAGTTATCATTAAAATCGCTAATCTATAAAATACGATACTTTCTTTGTAAATGTCCAAATGTTTATACATCTAAATGTTTCTGTTGATGAATTGTAAAGTAAAATCAATATTTTTACACCCCTGTATTATTGATAACTAATGTTGTCATATTAATGTTCTGTTAATTCATAGAATACTCTCTTAATTCGAGGAACTAAATCCGTCTATTTTAGTGGTCTCTATAATAGTGTTAGTTCTTATAATAAATGTATGGGTATGCAGTCAAAATCTGATCTATGTACTGTTAATGAAACAAACTAACTGAATTGTACTATATAATCTATCTATTTCATTGATTAATATATATTGCAATCTCGATAAAAGATCTCAATTTTATACATAGAGATTTCTCATCGAGATAGGATTAATTTTAGTGGGATATTTACAATAAATTTTATTAAAAACACACGCAGTTTAAAAACAGTGTAATTTGGTTCTTTGAACATCGGTTAAAACGTGAACAGGCGTGGTAATGTCCTATACTAAACTAGTATATGATAATGTGTTCAAAATATTATCTAACATACTAGCTAAAGCGTCTATTGATAAAGCATTTTTTTGTATAATCACAACAGCAGGTCCGTTCCACCTTATTCATTCACTATCTAAACAATATCACTAGAACAGTCTGGCACATCCGAAACTTGGGAACAACGAAGGAAACTACGGCAGACCATGTCTCGCACCGCGACGGGGTCCTTCGGTTACGATGAAATCATTTCGAACTTCTTATAAATATATTTTTATTTTTTTAACATGTACATTATAATGTATGCTTTAAACGTTGAAAAAATAAATGCAATAAAATGTAATTTCACTGAAAGTAAATAAAGCAAGAGTTCACTATTGCTTAGTAATTTTATTTCGACTTCTAAGGTAAGCCGTCTTCTTGTATAGAGCAACTGCAGGAGGCGCAAGCAAAATGTGCAAGGTGTAATATTGATTCTTATTTCGTTTGCAGCAGTCAGTTGTAAAACCTTTTTTTTTTATTAATATTTATCCAAAAGCGAATTGCGTCTTATAGTAAAAGAGTTTAAAACTCTCATTCGAAATGATTTCTCGGATAACCTCATTGGGGCGTAGTTGTAATAAAGGTGGGGTTAGAGGACGGGCGCCGAGTTTCGTCGAGTTCAGCACAGGAGTTCGGAGTTTGAAGGCGGTACTCAGCTGGGTAACGTAGGCCTTGTGACGTGGGGCGCCGGGCTGGAAGGCTGAGGTTGGGGCTGGGGGGCGGGAGAATGAGATACGGTGCTTTCTGGAGCTGAGTGCGTACGAGTCCCTGGTTGGAGCACCGGACTCGGCGGCCAGGGATGTGAAACTGAAGCCATTGTTCTAGAAAACACAAAAATATTTGAATTTGCTTTACAGAGTCATAATACTACAAAAAATAGCAGAGTAGAGATCGTTGTGAAAGAGTTCGTCCAGTGAAGTACTGCCACCTTACCTATTTCTGCCGTCAAGCTATAATGTTAGCATCACTGCCTTCCGGTTTTGAAGGGTAAGGGTTCTGGTGAAATTATTCGCACATGGGACTTGTCAACTTATGTCCCAGGGTGACGGGCGCAGTGGCAGTGCCCATCAGATCTTTGCGATTAAAACCTCTGAGTGGCACGCAACTGTTTGGACAGGCGTGTAGCTTAACATCAGACACACGTGTCGTTCGTCCCGTCACTGATATTATAAAAAAAACAACAATAATTAAATTTGGCATTGTCTCGAACAATTTTTCTCTTCAAACTGGATACGGTCAAAGTGAACATGTGAGTGAAATGTTCTTATATTTAGTGTTTGGTAAATATAACTGACACAAAACTTTAAGAAAATACAAAGTAAATTTTGTTTTAGTTTTTAAAGATTTGTTCTAAAAAAAGACTGAAAATTCACAGTCAATCCGGAGGCTGTTGTACTCTCAGATTGCAAATATATTTTACAGAGCGTTATTTAGGTCTTATCTATATTTTCTGAACTATGACAAATATGTGTGTAATTTATAAAGTAACGCTTCCCAATAGCCGACACTAATCTATATAGTAAGCGCCATCTAGTTGTTTTGTTTGTTATCACTAGAAATTAGAGTAACTTAGATAAAGCTTGTTAATGTAAAATAAATTAGTTACAAAAACAGCTATTTGGTATTCGTCGCGACGTATGGTGTACCGATATGTATCTTATGTCGCGATTCCTGTTGTGTTATTGGGCCATGGTTTTGATAGAAAGGGCAGCATATTTGTCCACATTTTCATTTGCCATCAAATAAGATCGTGAACAAATTTAATAGGAGTTCCCTGTCAATTTTAAAAAAAGGTATTTTAGTAGATCTGCATTACCTGGTATAAGGCGTAATAGAAGACGGTGGTGTAGGAACAGCGGCTGCATCGGGGTGAAGATAATTCCGCCGTGATTCTGCCCGCTCCCAGCACTGCTGTAGGCACCGCGCCACCACGTCAGGTAAGTTGTTTACTTGCTCCTGAAAACATTTTGTAGAAAATATTTATTAGTTTCAAGTACCATGGATATTTCCTTCATGGTAAACATGATATTGTAGTATTAAGTTTATTTAAACATTCCTTCTCAAAAGAAAAATTCCTTCGGTCCTGCTGGACTCGAACCAGTGTGAACTGAGCTACGGAAGGAACCAGTAGACCTTACAAATTTTTCTATGTGCTTGTTGCAGATCTTTGTTTTTTATGGTTTTCAACGAGTATGATATTTGTGGCGGCTTTAGACGCCGCCTATTATCACCGGCTGACTGTGGCAGTCTCTTTGGACGAGTGTCGCCAAGGAGAGTCACACTTGCCAAAATATTCGATAGTTTTTTAGTTACGCGAATTGTTGAAATTGCAAATTGTTTGCCCGGTTTGATAATAGTTATGTGTAAACCACGAAATAATACAATTCATGAAGTTCACGAGGCCGTTTTATTGTTCGTTAGGGGAGCGATAAATTCCCCAAATTGGTGACTCCGACGTGATACGTTTCTCAAGATATAAAAGTTTACAAAAACTTTCAAATACTATATCGAAAGGCTTGACGATGATGAAGTATACAAATTGAAGGCATTTTTCTTTATAATGCCTGGCGAAATATGTATAGGAGTATCAGCTCCGAGATTCCGCTGACTGTAACTTGTGAGCAGTTACGTGCGTTCTACGTCATCTACCGGTGGACGCGACGAGTCACGCGCCCGTCGACCGTTTGGATTTTACATTTATTGTATTTTATAACCTTTTTTTTCGACTTGACTTCCTGCCGGCGAGTGTTTTTCTTTAATAATTTATCACTAACCCTACTACTAGAACTGAGATTTGGTTTTCCTGGAGGAACTGAAAGCACAACTTGAGAAGCTCGCAGCTCAAAAAGAGTTACTATTCCGACAGAACACTGAGCCCAAAGCTAGACTAGCGGATGAACCTATCCGCACAGGCCCCTCATCCTCCGAGTCTCAACAGCCATCACCCGCTCCAGTGGCACATGGTGACCGCCCCGCGCCTTCTAACAATGAGTTGGTCCCCATCATTGCTCAATTACAGGCACTCAGCAAGCAGGTAGCGGCTTTGTCTACACGCCATTTGCGATCAAGATCCAGCTCTCGCCGATCTTGCCCTAGAACAAGATCCGCGACACCTCACGGATCTTGCCCTAGACCAAGATCCGCGACGCCTCACGGCTTGTGCTGGTACCACCGTTGATATCAGGGCAAGGCTGTCAAATGTGTCCGACCGTGCTCCTAGTCAAATCCGAATCCGGAAAACCAAGGGAGCTGTCAGCGGTAATGGCGACTGACTGCAGCCAATTCACTGGTCGCCGCCTGTTTATCACTGACAAGGTAACCAAATTTAAATTCTTGCTTGACACCGGTTGACCGGTGATCTTTCCTGTTTTCCCACAGAAACTTCTGTCCACTCAATGCAAGTTTTCCGATTACACTCTTAGTGCCGCCAACGGCACCAGTATAAAAACATATGGCATTGAAAAAACTTACCTAT